CCAATGGCAGAAAATATATGAAGTAACAATTCAGATCTAACTTAATTGGTAACACTTCTGCTAAATGATATTCTACAGAAAGACTGGAGGGAAGTGGGCATAGTCAGCCCAGTCAAAAATCAGGGCTCCTGTGGATCTTGCTGGACATTCAGGTTAGCTTTCAGTTATGATTAGAAAATGCTGCTTACCAACCTACTAAGTTTAGCTTTTAAATTTTAAGTTGTGACATTTTACATTTGCATATTTCAGTACCACTGGAGCTCTTGAGGCAGCTTACCATCAGGCATTTGGGAAGGGAATCTCCCTTTCTGAGCAGCAGCTTGTTGACTGCGCCGGAGCCTTTAATAACTTTGGTTGCAATGGCGGGTTGCCATCCCAAGCCTTTGAATACATCAAATATAATGGTGGCCTTGATACAGAGGAGGCATACCCTTACACAGCAAAAAATGGTGAATGCAAATTCTCATCTGAAAATGTTGGGGTCCAAGTCGTTGACTCTGTCAACATTACCTTGGTAAGTTCAAACACCATTTCCCTTTTGCTTTCTGGTATCGCAGTTTATATGATCATGTGCTTGATGTCAAATATGCCTTGTTTTTGTGGGATAAAGCAGAAAATAGATGACTTTACTTGTTCATCTGGCTGAATTTGACTGGTTTATATTGGTTGCCACTGGCTATTTATCATGCCTGTTTTACATTATCAGTATACGTCTAGTTCAATTTGAGTATTGGCTAAATCCAAACCTGACCAATGTTCAACTCCAACGAGTGTGTATATCTCCATTGTTGGTTGTTTTTCAGTGATCCAATTCGAAACAGGTCCATTTACACATAATTGACTATTCTAATTTGTGACCCTAGCTAAATATTGGAATTTAATTGCATCCGAAGTCATAAAGAAATGGCTTGTGAATCTAGATATATAAATTACGCATATCATCTTTTGGGATTTCCTAATCTGTACAATCAAACACAGGGTGCTGAAGATGAATTAAAGCATGCAGTTGCCCTGGTTCGGCCAGTTAGTGTTGCATTTGAAGTTGTCACTAGTTTCCGATTTTACAAGAAAGGGGTTTACACCAGTGACGTATGTGGTAGCGCTCCCATGGTAAGTTATTATTATTATTGTTGTGCTTTGGAGTTAGAGAAGTTTATTTAATTGGCAAGACAATAATATCTGTTGATCAATTATGTTATGAAGTTATAAAATTACAATAGCTGGCCCAATTAGGTTCAGTTTGTGGTGAGGATTTCATGGCTTGATATGATTTCTTAGAAATGGTCTTGAAATGGTTTCAAGATTGATCTGTGAAAACAGCATAAAACCATAATGGATTCATCATTCATGACCGTGTTCTTCTAGTCAAAAGTGGATCAAATCATAGTCAAGATATGCTAATAGGATTTGCATGTGTATGGTTATTTGCCATTCGGAATATGATGGCAATTCTTCTATATTGTGCACATCGATACCGCCCATCTATATGATGGATTGATGCGTTCTTACTAACTATGGACTTACGTGGCAGGATGTGAACCACGCTGTTCTTGCTGTTGGGTATGGAGTTGAAAATGGTGTTCCATATTGGCTCATTAAGAACTCATGGGGAGAAGATTGGGGGGATGATGGCTACTTCAAGATGGAGATGGGGAAAAACATGTGTGGTAAGTCTTAAGTCTCAACCTCGTTGGATTGTTTAGTCAAAACAAGATGCCTGGATTGAGCTATGTCAAGTAATTTAAATGTTAAGAATTTACTAGCCCTCAAAGACCACCCAGATTCTGAAGTTGATCATGAAGAGAAATTAGTTGATTGGATATGGTCCTATGAAAATTCTTCAATTTACAGTGAATATCTTTTCTGAATTAGGACAATAAAGATAAGAAGTCATCGACTGAAAATTTGAATTGTAAACAGTATATATCAAGAACTTAATTCCCTTATACATCCGCCAATTTGGTTGCAGGTGTCGCGACATGTGCATCATACCCTATCGTTGCTTGATCTGATTGAAGAACTCTTTTGGATTAGGTCGGTGCTTTGTGTTAGAGAAGCCGTCCTAGTTATGGTCTACAAACGTTGTAGTTGGTCCATCTCAAAGGTTGAGGTTATGGCTTGATGTACAATAAGGTCTTAGACGCATACTTATAAAATGCAAATGTGTTGTTCACAACAAAAGACGTAATGTAAATTTTATCTATGAATGATCGTTGTGTAATTACTTGCAAACATTAGAAATCAATTCAGTACATTTAATATCCTTCTATATTCGCTCAAAGTAGCCTCCTACTTTGCCAGCATACAGTTGGGCAGGAAAGTGTGCCTGTCTTTCCTCCTTCAATATGAAGCTGGAGACATTCTTGAGAACTTCAATGCATTTAGACGTGCTGTGTAGCACGATCGATAGAAAAGGCTGGTAATGTTTGTTTGTCCAATTAATGTTTGATGGCTAAATCCCGCTTTACCCAGTTTCCCTGTCTCTGTCTCAAGGATTGCCATGTATCCAGTACTTTCTACAGTCTTTGGGTACAAGATCAGGAATTGATGCCGCTCCTCTGTTTGGCGCAGTGCAAAAGATATTTTTGTTTTGGCTAAAATTGCAAATAAATATCTTATAGACTAGACGTGCCTCCAAGATTTTTTCTTTCTTCACCAAAATTTCAGCCATTCATGTCTTGTATAACTCATAAATTTGAAACTCAATGCAAGCAAAACCGATGCTTTAACAGTTAGTGCCTTTTGGAGTCAAATCAACATACAGTTTTGCTTCTGTGCTAACAATCATAATCATGGACAACCTATTAACAGTTAGTTGCAGCAACTTCTAAGAAAGAACATATGTTAGGGTCTGTAGTGTATAAAGTTATGCCAAATGAACTACCGCCTTCATTAATGCCGACCAAAGTAGACCTCTGCAGTTTCCGTTCAATTTGGGGTAGATGATTGTATTTCTCAGTCAAGCTTAGTTGGTAGAAGAATCCAATCATAGAACAGTTGAGAATCTACCCTAGTGAGCAAAAATTTTAGCTGAAGCTCACACTTTGGCGGAACCAATGTTTTGATATCCTTTTATTGATGATCTGCATTGCCTGTGAAATACATTAAATCAGAAGGATGAAATTTCATTCATTTTTTGAAGAGTTTTAACAAACTATACAGACTACACATTGCATGGAGGATTTGGAATGCAAGAGACCAAAAATAAAAAAATATTGGATTGCTCCAAATAAAGAAGGGAAAATAAAATCTAAAACATGAAATTCATCTATGTATTTTCCTTTCCTTTTCCCAATGTATTGCTTAATTTTCCATTATCATGTTTGGAGATCTCATTGGATATGGAACACCAAATTGAACTGCAAGACAAATAGCAAACCTCCGTGGTACTTTCCGACTCATTCAGCATCATACCAGTTTTCTATAGCATCATCCAGCTTTTGAAGCCAAACATCCGATGTTGATGTTCCCCAACCAAATTCAGATTTAAGCCGTAGCAGCCCTTAATCTCTTACAGTAACCTCATATAATGGTGTAAAAGGCAAGAACAGGGTACCATTAAGGATTCCATCAATAACTTGAAAAATGCATTTTCTGCTATCCTGCAAGCCCATAGAAACAGGAAAAATGTGTTAAGAATAAAGATGAACTGACTAAACAATGCAACTTGATATAAATCCTTCAAGCACTCCAAATAAGGTTTAACAACAGATGCTCCAAGTATGATCCTGAACACAACACAATCCACATCCCCCAAGGGCTGTGAACCTGACCTCAATCACCTGATGAATGATCTCCAGGACATTGAGCTAACTATTCAGATTTTATCAATTGATGCAAAAAGGTTGAAATAATTTGCCAATCTACTCCTTTATCTTCTAAATATCATTTACTGGTTATTAATTTGCAGCACAATTGATCTGAAAGGGACTAGAAATCAGATTATATCAGCATCGCACTTTCTTGACATCATCATTACTACTATACCCAACACGTAGATGCAGATATCTGAAAAAAAAATAGGGGATTAGTTTCAAATTTACCACTACTTTGAGTGATAGACAAATTTATCATTCATCTTTGAACAGGTGCAATTTCACCACTGTAGTTTGTAACTTGGTTCAAAAGTGCTCAAAAGTTAATGGTAAAAGAATATTCTATTTTTTTTACTATTTTTGAACCAAATTAGAAAGTAAAGTGGTCAAATTACCCCTATTCAAAGACAAGTGCTAAATTTGATCCATTACTAGAGTGGTAAATTTGAACCTTAACCCAAAAAAAAAACCTTCTCCTGCTATGAGGATCACATTATATTCCCCTTTGATAACAGTCAGCCCATGTATGATTTAAAAATATAATACTAAAATCAATGTGCTTCATTGATCAAAAAGAAAAAGAAAATTAGTATACCGCTAAGAAAACTGTTAGACTGTCAAGTGATTAAAGTTCTTTGTAGTGTTGCGATAATTCTGAACAAACTATGTTTCTGTTCTTTGTTCATCATAATTATATGGGGGTGCTCCAAAATAAAATTTCACAGAGATCCGTCAACCAAGTCTATTGTAATCATTAAATATTAATATAGAATTCTAGACCAAGTACATCCAAAGTCATTATCCATAAGAATAAATCATATGGTCCTCAGGACTAAAAGATTCAGCAGTATTTTCCTATGTTGTCATAAAGAACCTTAACACAACGAATTTAATACATTTACTAATACATATGGACAACAATACGATCCATCCAACATGCACATTCCGGAACACCAGGGTTGCCATAGAGGTAAAGCCCCAAAAGAAGTGATCTGATTGTGTTCTTCTACATATATAGAGCATCATTTGCATTATTTATAAATATTACTTCTAACCTTATAACATACAGAACAAATAACCAAGTGACACGTTGACGGAAGTACATTTCAATTTAAGAGAACAGAAAGGCTAACACAAGTAACTTTGTAGGGAAAAAGAGCATAACATACAATTTCATGAAGATCCAACGGAACCAGTGCCAATTTAGAAGTATGATAATTGAAGTTCATGATCTGAGTAAGAGAAAACAAAGACAAAGAACTCACTGAAGGCAAGCCAGTTTGTGCTTCAAGCTGGATATGCTTAATTGGATATTTGATGCATGATGAAGAGCCTTCTCAACATTTCAGAATGACATCAAGTTCAATGATGGCAAGCTTTTCTCTTAAGCAGCCACAGGCACACCTCTGTTTATTCTCAAAGGAGCATTGTTCTCCAAGAGTGATGAACCCAACTTCATGTCCTGTGATGCCATTTTTTTAATGCGGGAGGCTTCGCTAGGCATCCCAGCCTTCAAAAGGCAAGAAATTAAAGAATTTACAGTGACATCATCTGGGGTACAACCAACTGATAACATTTTATTGAAAATGCTAATTGCTTCAAACATTCTTCCTTTCATACTGTGACCTATAATGAGAATAGTAAATGTCACTTTATCAGGATGACATTGCTTCCCTTCCATCTCCGCTACTATCAGATTGGCCTCATCCAAATTTCCAGCCTTGCAAAACCCATCAATCACAGGGTTGAAGATAAATGGTTTTGGAACAATATTCCTACACTGCAACTCCCTCAAAAATCCGCGAGCCTCATGTAGTCTATTTTCCTTGCATAGAGCATTAATAGTAATAGCAAAGGTATAAACATTTGGAGATAAGTCTCTCCCTTTCATTGCATTCCACAGCTGCAAACTCTGGTTTACATCTCCAATTCGACAGTAGCCATCAATCAAGGAAGTGAACGTAACAACATCAGCAACGCAACCAAAAGGAGCCATCTTCTCATACATGGATTTAGCAGAAACCATATCACCAACCTTGCCAAAGCCATCAATCAGAACATTAAAAGTGACAACAGTAGGCATAGTCCCTGAACTAATCATCTCATGGAAAAGTGCAGATGCCTCATCCATCTTACCCAACTTGCAATAACCAGATATGACCGATGTATAAGTCACAACATCTGGTGAACAATCATCTCTTGATTGAACTTGGTTCAATAACTTGTGTCCTCTATCTACCTCATTAACCTTACATAACCCATTTATAATGGTGTTATATGTAACAATATCAGGAAAACAACCAAAACTCCCCATATCATTAAAAAGCTCAAAAGCCTGATCCACTTTCCCTACTCTGCACAGACCTCGAATTAGAATATTAAATGTCCATGTGTCTGGGTAAAAATTTGATCCTAAATTCTCTTTATATAAGCTAACTGCCTCCTCTAGTTTATTTTGCTTAACCATCATATTCAACAGGTTGTTTAACGCAAAAATACTGATCACTACTTCATCAGACCGAACATCAGCAAGCAATTTCTTTGCCATACCAAACTCACCTGCCCTCCCAAAAGACGAAATCATAAATCCTAAAATAGTAGTATCAGGCAAATGCCCATCAATCCTCATATAATCAAAAACTAATTTAGCCGAGTCATGTAGACCCATATGACAAAATGACCTCATAAGCAAATTATAAGTCCAAAAAGAATGACCAATATTAAAATTCACCCTACTGAACTCGAGAAACTTCAAACCTAACGCCGGATTGTTTAACCATTTAACAACTTCAAATTCAATTAAAGGAGTCAAATTCTTGCTCAGATAACTCAAACAGCTATCATCTAAAGGCTGTGAATAAACAAAGAGAGTGCACACAACCTTAACGAACCAAGCCTCGTGCTTTTGGATTGCCTTTACCTCTTTATTGCCTTGCGGGTAAGAACCTCCGTGAAATTGAATGTGAAAATGAGGAATGAAGACCTTGGAGGCGGCTCGAACCCTTGAGGCACGAGTTGTAAATGAAAATAGGGTCATCTGCAACCCCAAGCCATTTCTAGGCTTAACTAAATACTCAAAAATCTCTACTTGAAAATGACCAAATTTTTTATTGGGCACCCCAGATTCAAAGTTGAGTTTTTGATTGAACTCTCTACTCTTCATGGGGATGGTGAAGAATCCAAGAACGATACCATAGCAAAACGACCCGCAGCTCAAACTAATAGCTAATGCAAAACTAACTCAGCAACAAGCTAAAACCCCAGATAAATCTCAACCATTCAATAACTAAAATAGATCACTGGATGATCACTGAGCAATGAGAAGATGGACATTGAGAACCAAAAATGGATTATGAAAGAAATCTGATACTAAGATAATAGGAAGAAAAAGATTTTAGAGATGTTTGATGGAAATCAAAAAGCTGTGATGCCTGCAAAGAAATGGCAGCACTAGGGTTTTCGGTCTGGCTTCTGGGGATGTTGGCCTTGTTTTGGGCGCTGGCTTACCGTCCTGTCAAGATGGACGAAACTAGTCTTGCGAAACAAGGCAAGAGTCCAAAGGCTTGGCCTTTTATCTTCTGTCATTTAGACCTATTGAGGCCCACTCTGTGCATTATGCAACGGGTTGACCCAAGACACGAGCACGTCTAGACCGCTGGGCTGACAAAGTGCACGCTGGGGATGTAATATTTTCTTAAAAATAAAACAAAAACAAAGAGCAAGCATGGACGTTCGTTAGAGCAATGGGTCTTGACCAAAATACAAAAAAAAAAAAAACACACACACACACAGAGATCAAATCTGTTTCAGTCCAGCTTTGTTTCACTGAAAACAGAGTAATTTGAAAAGGTTGAACTTTTTAATAGAGAGAAAGAGGTGGAAGATGTCTAGTGAGAGGCACGCTTCTTCCAACTCCGCACCTCCACAAGAAACCGCTATGTAAGCTTTCAATCCTTCATTTTTCATTTTATTTAGTTGCATTTTTGTCGATTTTTTATTTTCATTTGTTTGACAATTCTGATACTTGGAAGAATTTAAAATTTGTTCCGTAAACTGAATGATATCTTATTTAGTTGGATTTTTGGTTTTACCGTATACAATCACCAGTAATTAGTAATTACACGCGTTTAGTTTAGAATTTGGGGTAGCATTTCTCGATATTTCACTGTAGGGATCAAAATTTTGTTGATTTTAACGTGATCTGAGGGTAATTTTTACTCAAATTAGTAATGGAAAAATTCACATTTTGTGCCATTTGTAGGTTCCTTGATATACTGCATGAGGCGCCGTTATTTGGTCACCGGAAACCAAGGAGTATCGTTGGCGGTGTTTTTTACTGTTTCATACTGGCAAGTTGAAGTTCATTGCTAGTTTTATGTCAAATAATGACACGTCCTTTTAATTCGTGATTAGGCAAACTCTGATAATTTTTCAAAATTTTAGGCAGGTTATGCAATTTTGGCTGCAGCGGCTCCTTGGATATTTAGGCCTATAGAGAATTTCGTCTTACCAGTGCTTTGTAGCTGCGATGTTGTTCTTCTAATAGTCACAGGTATCTTGATCTGCCTTGGGTACTTGCTTCTGGATGTGTACCGTCCTTGGGGTGCTTCATAAACTCATATATGATTGAAGACAATATTCCTTATACCTTAGTTTAGTATAGAATGCATGCAGTGCTTAAAAAGAATTTAAGTGCATTGCTAACTGTTAAGTTCTTTTTTGGATCTTACAGGCATTTTTCAACAATATCTGGTTTATCAAGTCCAGAAGATACGTCTACAGGTAACTTCATTGATTACTCCAACCTGGTCCTAACTGCCATTTTATAGAAACCATTAAATGGTCTTGTGTTTTGTAGGGTTATTATAGTTTCAGCCAGAAGTTGAAGCATATTGTCCGTCTACCATTTGCCATTACTGCATACGGTGAGTTTATATTTGTGTATCTTTGACCGGCAGCACTTGATCTTCATAAGGGGTTTTTATCTCAATCATCAATGGATCTACTCAGGCATATGCTTTCCACTGAACCAATTATTTTGATTCCAGAGTCATCATCTTGTCCTGCCTTTTAGGATATAGTAGTCCCCTTTATCCCCAACAATGATAGTGTCTTACATCTATGGAACCTTTTCAGTTGGAAATAATGTTACAGTTATAACCACACTTGTATCTCTTCTGATGTGATATTAATTTTATAATTAGTGACCAGTTCTTTCTGTTACATCTTCATTATTGTTGCATTAGGAACTGCTGCAATGATGCTTGTCATGGTGTGGAAAACCTACATCAGTATTCTTTCCACATCTGTCATTCTCAGGTACTCTACAACTCATCAATGATTCCAACCTCGTTCTTCTTTTTCGTGCTTAATATATATTTTGTATGCTTCTTTAAGTATTTATTCTTAATAATTTTTAGCCTTAATCATGTTTGTGAAAGAAATATTGATTTTAATCCTATCATTGTGATTTTACCAGCTTTAAGAAATGTTTGCTTCTCGAAATGTTTGTGATTTATGAGTCCTGGATGCTCATTCTGCATTGTTTAGTTTTACATTACAATTTGAATTGGAACTTCTGATGTTGTTGATTGCTGGGACTGTTAGGTTAATTCAGAGATTGATATGAATGGTAGTAATATTTTTAAGTTCTTTCTTTATTTTGATTCAAAACTGAACATTCCTTGTTGCGCTATTGAACTACGTATCATTGACAATATTCCACTTGATTCATTTGATTTGCAGGATTATTATGTTGGTTGAAGCAGTATGTTCTGGGTTCTTTATGAGTGTGTATATCGGTAAGCTCAAATACATGTGTAGAAGCATTTGAGGAATTAAACTAAATAATGTATGCTTATTATTTAGGTTTTTTCAGTTATTTCTGATTAGGTGCTTGTATAATTCTGTTATTGTGGTGCTTGCAGGTTATGTACACCAGTACAATTCATTGGATTCTCAGCCTGATGTTTTGAAGTCATTATATTCTCCCCTTCAACCATCAAGTCCTTTGGAAGATTTGAGGTAATTACAAAGATTTTGTTGATGAAGCGACTATATTTTCAAGATTCACTGTGAAAGATATTCCACCTGCTTTGAAAGAATACATCACTCGAAAATATGTCTTTTAATTTTTGATTTAGTTGGCTAGTTTAATTTTTCTGTTGCTGGAGCTTTGGTGGTTTGCAGATATCCTGATTTCAGTTGTTGCATTTCCCTGATTTGCTGGTCATGAAACCAAGACAAAATTAATATGAAATTATGAATTATTACTATTGTTATGTGTAATGCTGTGTATATCCAATGTTCAATTCAATTTGCTGCAACAGGTATCATGATGGTGGTCGACTCTCTGACCAGCAAATGGCTTTACTGCAGTATCAGCGTGAAAACCTTCATTTTCTGAGTGAGGAGGTATTGTATTGGACTCCTGTTACACAAGTAATTCATTATAGTTATTTTCATGTATCTTTTTGCAGTATTGCAATGGACTACTGTTATACGAGTAATAGCTTTAACTGCAGATTCTTCGATTGCAAGAGTGCTTAAGCAAATATGAAGGATCTAATGATGGAAGCACACCGCAGGTGATGATCCAACTGTAGAGATGAATGTTCTTTTGTTACATATTTATAAAAAATAAAAATATGATGGGAGGAGTTGGGATAACTGTGTAAGAAATTGTCAGAATAATGGTTACTCTGGACTCTTTTTCAGGTTGATCTTGCCCATCTGTTAGCAGCTCGTGATCAAGAATTACGAACAGTTTCTGCTGAGGTACTTAGGTTCACATAATCTCATATGCTGATACTTGTTGCTTTGGTGATACTGGAAATGAGAAAAGCTGCGGAGATCCTTTGAACAATTAAGTTTCCCATCTTGCATATTACCTGTTGTTCTCTCATGCCCTCATACCCATTTTCCTTGCTGTTCTATCTGGTTTGCACTTAAGTACCTTGTTCATGGTTCCAATAGGTGAATTATGTTAAGAGTAAGGCTTTAACATGTTACACATCAGTGCTTTTATTTGGCATGCAAACCCTGCAATTTATGCATTAACATTAACAGTGCTGTAGATATTCATTTGGGACAACTGAGTACAGCAGAGAGTTTTCTATGTCTTTGTATTCATTTGCATGCACATTTGCACACTTCATAATTGGAACAAGATGAGATTCCAATTGTTGATCTTGCCCCATGCACCTGAAGTTGTTCCACTTTGGGCAATGATACTAAGCATTTGACCATAGTCCCTGACATTCTTCATTTAAAAAATTGGGATAGTAGTAGGTTCTGTCAGAAACTGAGGCAAACTATTTGAATTGCAGATGAACCAACTGCAGTCTGAGCTAAGACTTGCCCGTTCTTTGATGGCTGAGAGGGATGCAGAAGTCCAGCGAGTTCGAACAACCAACAATCAGGTAAATCCTAAAGAGTTGGCCTACAGCCATTTAAAAAAAATTGAATATCGATAATCCTAATCTGAACTTTTTGCTCAGAAGCTAGTTTACATCTCCCTTGGTTCCATGAATACTTTTGAGTCATGAGTAAATCCTCCTCTTCTTGAATGTATCACAGCTGCTCTACGATATTAGATTGGTGATAACAAAATATTCATGATGGACCTATTGTTCTACTGTCTAACTTAAAAAAATATATTTTTTGTTTTTTTACTATAAATTCTTAATCTGAAAAAGTTTTGCAGGACTAATATTTCTCCTTAAGACCAGGAAGCAGAAAAATAAAACCAATATCTTTTCAAGCCATTAACATGGTTTATGCAAAATTTTGTTCTGATGAAAATGTCTGTAATCAGACTGCTACGTTGACCTTTTCCTCATTTTATTCTGCTGAAAACTAAAACAGTATGTCGAAGAGAATGAAAGGCTGAGAGCTATTCTAGGAGAATGGAGCGCCCGAGCTGCGAAGGTACTGCCTTACAATCCTTTTGCTATTTATGAAATTCCACTTCTATTCTATTTGAATGCTGTAAAATCATATGAATTGATATTTAATGTTACGACAATGCTGAAGCTTGAACGAGCTTTGGAGGTTGAGCGGATGTCAAACCTTGAACTACAAAAGAAGATTTCAACACTAAGAAGTTCGGCACATACATCAGCTGGACCAAGCGAGCAGCAGGGAACCTAAGTACTTCCTACGGAAGCACATGTATAGACTCATTGTTGACTACTCCCAACACTTGGGGGTGAAATCAATCTTTTTATTCTGTGGTTAAAACAAACTTTAGGCCTGATGACATATATGCTTTATTGTAGTTTCTTTGATTTTTTTTTCACTTTTTCCCCTTGATTTCTTTCGCTTAGGGGAAGGAGTGGTTCTGGCAATGTTCTGGGACCTGTACATAACTGTGTATTCCCTTTTTTTTCCCCTTTGTTGGATGCTGAAATTTGAATGATATCAGCCCAGACTGCCATTTACATTAAATTTTATTCCTTGTATTCGCGTGTTATGCTCTTCCACTTTGCTAACCTTATAACATAATGTTAAAAGGTTTTGACTTACCCTAAAATGCTGAAAATGACCAGACGCCCGGGACATTAAGTGGCGTAAAGATAATGGCTACGAACCCATCTGAGCCAAATGGTAGGTATCGGGAAACCAGGACAGTTGATCATTTTAATTATGGCACTAGAATAGTGATACAAATGAAACATTCCACATGGTTAAATTACAATTGGCTTACATGAACATTTTCATTTAGAAAGAGACAACCAAACACAAAATTGAAGAAGTCACGACCCCTAATAACCTCTCCCCCTCCAGATATAGCTTCCGTATCATACTTGCATGCTCTCATACAGTCAGGACAGTACGTAACCTGCATAAAAGTTGGCATATCCCTCTTAGAAAGCAGTATGGTAATCACAGATTGGTGTGAGAAGAGCACTCATGAAAAGTAACTTAAGCCTACTTTGATAGTCATATATGATTACTCGATTGCAAGACAAACATCTAATGGAAGGATGCTGCTTTCAGTTACAAACCTCCAATAACTTTGGCTGGAAGGAACCATCAAGCATTACATCCACACCGTACATAGCCCTAGACTTTGGATCATGCATCTCTGGATGTACTGCTGCAGCTGACTCAAAGACAGATCTGATCATAGTTTTAACTCTTTGATGGATGTCCAACCATTTAACTGTAAAAAGCACATAAATTGTCAATAAAGAAACAACTTAGGAATGCCTCTTAGTTGCTTCTAAATTGTTCACATTCATTTTCTTGAAGGGAAAGACAATCTGGGTACAAGTTCAGCAAGCACAAAAACCTTGATGCTCCTTCTCGAACTCCCTAACAAACTCTGGTGTGTTCATGTGATTCAACTTCCGACCGTAGTTCTGAAAGTCATAGAAGTCAGTAAATTACTAAAGGTAAAAACATGAATCTAACATGATTCTTAAGTTAAAGGAAAAAACGGAGTTCCCACTTCCATCGTAGATATTAGAGCCTTGTTTATTTGCATTTCCTTTTAAATTCCAGGAAACTGCCTAAATTTCATGTACTAGCAGAAAATATATTTACTCTTTGAAGCTGTCAACAAAAAATGCCTAAACATACCATAACGGTGAAGTGGGTCTCATACTCAAAAAGACTATGCTTCTCAAGGGTGTATGGGTTGTTTGCCAATCTGACCTGAAAATGTTAACAGGAGGAACTAATTAAGGCATTTTAATAGCAGAAAATATTTAAACAAGAAAAGACCTCAAAAAGAAAACTCATCCTATGGCATCTCAGTCAGACAGCAGAATGTGCATACCCAGAAGACATCTGAAAGGAAGATATCCAAAGGGGTTATACTGCGAACCAGTATAATATAACGAAGATCAAACTTCTTTCCTTGGAACAGAGCAGGGTGCTCAATATACTTCTGGCATATTTTTGGACCAGTTTCCATGAGACGGATAATGGCAGATAAATTATCAGTTACAGTTGTATCAATAGTCCGTGCCATGTTCCAAGGTTTTAAGATCCATAGATTGTTGAGCCCATCTCTCTTGCGTAGACAGTAGTCACCAATAAGTTGAGATAGATGTGTTTCAAGATTATAAGTAGGTTGCAACCATCCAGGAGATCCCTGTGCCTGTTTCAAGGAAAGAAGGGGCAATTTAAAGTTAGTTTACCTGTTGCTATTCAAAAAGAAAAAAATTAGTTAACCTGTTTCAAAAAGAAACATTTAGCTTGGTATTAAGTTTTAAGAATCAGTATCCATCCAAGAAAAGTTCTAAGTATCAGTACAAATATGATTGTAATTGAAAAAACGAGCATGCAGTTCAATATCATTATAGACAAAATTTTGACTCCTGAAACAAGGTCTTGATGTGAGTATTAATATGTAAAATAAGTTAGCTATCTCAACCTTTTGAATGGTATCAGCCAAATGATGTTTCATCACAAGACAAGCCTCAAAAGGAAATTGGTTTACATATTGTTGATCTGTTATTCCCACAACTTTTTTCATCTCTTCATCCACCTGCATACTTGTCCATATAATATCTGCATCCTTTGGTTCGTTTGCTGCAAGCATTTGGGAGAATTAAAAATCTCACAGCAGAAAATGTACACTGAAACCTTAAAAAACTAAACAAATAAAGCTGTCAATTTCTTTCAACAAATACCACATCCATCAGACAGATGCTAATCAAATCTAAATAACAATTATGAACCCAACATATAAAAAAAGACTCAGGTAGATTCAATAATTAACAAATTTATAATGAATTCCACATAAATTGACATTTTAGTCCCTTTTTAATAAATAAAATGTTTTCATTACTTCAATAACAATTCACATCAGATGCACATATTTCAGAGAAAAAAGGGTCAAATATGAAAGAACAAGTTTCCCATGCGTGGACAAGAGCACATACTAATCACAAATTCCGGCCGTGTCAAAAATTCTTCCACTTGAGGCATATCAGTGTAAACACGTAACACACTCCCATCACTGCAATGGACACCACTAATCGAAGAAGACTTTATGGGCACAGAAGGTAAACTTCTCGATTGCAATTTATTGTGATGCTTCTTATACTCCTGAGTGAAGTAATGTGGGTTAATAAGAAACCATGAAGCAGACCACAGTTTAAATGGAAACAGAAGTAATTCCAATAACAGGATACAATACTTGGATAAAATAATTCTGTGGTGTGTAGAACCAAGCTGTGAGTCTGGCAGAACGCTGCTTTTCCTCTCCAATACCAAATAGGTAATCACGAGTACACTCTTCGCCTTTCTTAACATTCTGGGTTGGCCATAATATTGAATAGCTGAGAAAGAAGGTTAACATGTGTCATGCCTCCATATGAATGGTCCTCCACATGCCTTAGCAGAAAAATTATATTACAAGGATTGATAGCATGGATTAATCAAGATGTGGCCATGTGGGAACATGCAGCTCAGAGTCTGCAAAGTTTTTTCAGTACAAGATACACAGATACCAATCCTTAAGGATTATTACACACTATCTAACTATAAAACTACTGAACACGGTAAAGAAAAACAACAAAAAGAAGTCAAACTGCTCCAACAAGCAGCAGAAGAAAAAAAGTGAGAAGGAAACCTTACTGCTGATGCCAGATTCCCCTCTGGCATGAAGAGAAAAGGAGCCACTCTGAAATTTGGCTCATCACTGTGCCGCAAAGCTGAACCTAGTTCATCCACAACATACCTGCCAAGGAACCCCAAAGCTAAAACTTAAAAACACTGTTTATTGGAAAGGATAACTGCACACAATAAATTTAGCAAGCATCTAAACAATGATGATTCCCTAGTATGTTCTTATTTTGTCTAGCACAAATGGTTTAGCCTACAAGCCCTTTTTTCTTTTTTTGATAAGCTAGCGTGAAAGCCATTTGACTCACAGATTTTCCAATTGCAAGCAGATGCACATAGCTTTTAATGGGTAAGCTTTGTTAACTACAGATCCTATTATTCACTATAGAATTCTGATTAATCACTTTTCTGCAAACATATTCTACCTCCATATGGCTACAAAGTCCTTTGTCTATGAATATTTATCCTTGCTTTCAAGAATTCAACAAAATGCCAAACATGATCTGAAGTCTATATGTCAGTTGCTAAATCAATGTCGAATTGCATACCATACTGGGGTTTCATCAAGCTTTTCCTCATCTGCAAGCCTATATGTCATTAAGTATAACCACATTGCATTAAGAACACAATCAGCAAGAGGTTCCTCAGCACTCCATTCAGGCAAACGTGGCTGAAGCATTGAATCAACAACATGCTTTTCACTTTCTAAGATTTTGGACGCATCAACACCATTCAGTGAGGAAAGAGTGGGAAGGGATTCAAGAATTTCCACAGCACTCTCTCCAAGTGGGCCAGGTATATCCACCTGCAAGAACACTCATTTTAAAAGGATATGAGAACTTCCTGCTGTCTCACCCCTGTTTTAGCATCAGTGAGATTATATTGGATAACAAGAAACAGTTTTCCAACAAAATACCTCCAAAGATTGCAAGCAATAAAAAGCCTTCAAGATTCCAAACAAATCACTGATTGAATTTTCTTCAATTGGATTCCCTCGAATGTTCAAATGTGAAAGATTTGGCATCTCAAAAGGCGAGAAAGCCTGAACATAAGCAGAACAATAGATAATCAGAAGCTCACCTCACAGCTTGTTTCCACATTTATGATTAATTAAAAAAAAAGGAAAAACATAAAATAAGATGTTAGACCTTATTGATCAGATTATGAATACATCTATTCGAAACGTCAAGTGAGGTCACACTTTGCAAAGCGAGGTCACCCTGATGACTACTCCCAGGATTGTCCTTCCCATATACATCCGCACAAAACCCCAACGCCCAACTCACCAAAATTACGGGTAAAACGAGAGTTATAGATTTCCAATTTGGGACATCCTCGAAGAATTGCATCTTCCATACCACCATCACTGTAAACAAAACAGACACCAGTTAATAGAAAACATCAAAGAAACTCAACATTTTTTCTTTTTCATATATCAACAAGACAAAACCTTTTTTCAAGAACCGGGTTATTGTTCAACCAAAGCGCCTTTAAGTTCTTAAATTTAGTAACTTCCTGGACAAGTTTCTCCGTGTTCTTGAGCTTGTTCCCACACAAACTAAGAGCCATTAAATCCTGGGACCAGACAGAATAACACATAGATATAAAGAGCTTGGAACACAAACTGAAATATGTAAAAATAAGATAAAGATATGGGTACCGAACTGGAAATTTAGTGGATAAATCGAGAGAAAGGAAGGTATTATCGTCAATTTCAACCTCCTCGAGCTCCAACCACCTTACAACTCCATCTCCATTAGCTTTCGCGTTTTGAGTTTCGCTCTCTAAAACTTCCTCAGCGGTCATTTTCCCGCCATTTTCAACGGCCTCTTCTAAACCTGCGTCATCATCAACGTCCAAGCACATCAGAGCAGC